TAAAATTGCCCTTTTGGCTTTAAATTGCATGTTTTGAAGCTAGAAATTGACTTGAATCGTCAGATTTAGAGCAAAAATTGTTATTGTACGTTATAATAAAAAAATTTTAGCTAATTCTGGCGATTTAGCTTGTTTTTGAATCTGAAACTTACTTATTTTAAGAGGTTTTACCAAATTTAGCTCTTTTTGGGGATAGAAATTTACTAAACATTGAGGTTTTTGTCTGAATTGTGTGATCTCATTAAATTTCAACGGTTTACTATATTGTTTAAAAAAAACAGAAACTTACGTATTTTAAGAGATTTTTCCCAAATAGGATACAAATTTGCGGTTTTTTAAACAGATTTTGTCGAAACCGCCAGAAAATAGTCTTCAGGTCTGAAATGCAATATTTCAGCCAAATTCGAACTCTTTACCTCATTTTTGGAGACTAAAATTGATTTATTTCAAGAGATTTTGACAAAACAACTCAGAAAATTGTCGTTGATTCTGATTATTGGCTTGTTTTTAAGTCAGAAACAAAAAAAAAAGTCAAAAACAAGAAAAAAAAATTCTTTAATTTTCTTAGTCCTGAAATTGATTTCGATTTGAATTGTGAGTGAAATTGAAATTTAACTTAAACAGCGACAAGTTTTTAAACTAAAGAAGTCGACATTAGGTTTAATTTTGCCTAAATAGAAAATTGTCTTTTAAGGTGTGAATTTCAGAAAATTTTGAGTGATTTAACTCATTTTTGAACCAGAAACTTTTTTATTTCAAAAGTTTTTACTGAAATAAGCTATAAAATTGTCGTTTTAGCTCTAAATTGCATGTTGTGAAGCCAGAAATCGACTTGGATTGTCAAATTTATTTTACGTTATAATAAAACAATTTTAGCTAATTCTGAGCGATCTAGCTTGTATTTGAATCTGAAACTTGCTTATTTTAAAAGGTTTTATCAAATTTAGCTCTTTTTGGGGCTAGAAATTGAGGTTTTGCTCTGAATTATGTGATTTCATTAAATTACAACAATTTGCCTTATTTTTTTTAAGTCAGAATCTCACTTATTTTAAAAGATTTTGCTTAAATAGGACATAAATTCGACGTTTTATTTCAACCGTTTTGTCGAAACAGTTTACAAATCCGTTTTCAGGTCCGAGTTGCAATATTTCAACCAAATCCGAACATTTTACCTTGTTTTTGGAGACTGAAAATGATTTATTTCAAGAGATTTTGACGAAATAACTCAGCAAATTGTCGTTGATTCTGATTATGTAGCTTGTTTTTGAGTCAGAAACAAAAAAGAGTCAAAAACAAGAAAAAAACGTTTTAAACAGCGACAAATTTTTAAACTAAACAAGTCGAGATTACGTTTAATTTTGCCTAAATAGACCAGAAAATCGTCTTTTAAGGTCTGAATTTCAAGAAATCTTGACCGATTTAACTCATTTTTGAGCCAGAAACTCTTTTATTTCAAAAGTTTTTGCTAAAACAGGACCTGAAATTGTTGTTTTTCACGAAATTTTGAGTGATTTAAGTTATTTTTGACTCAGAAACTTTCTTATTTCAAGAGTTTTTGCTGAAACATGCCATAATTGTGCGAGATTTTATCCAAAAACCCAAATCCAATTTAAAAAATTCAATTCAATCAATTTTTTTTTTAATTTTAACAATTAAACTCGCTGAGACACCCTGTATATTCCAATACAGCATCTGAAAGTTTCACACGCCAACTTCGCAACTACACGAACTGTGTTTACAAGAGAACTGATTACACGATACGAACAATTTGTGACTTATGAATAACACAGAGCGAAAAGTTGCTCGCTTAATAACAAAACTTTTTGAATGGAATAATGAACTACACCTGGACTATTTTCTGACAAATTTATAAACTTGAATGAAGCCCAGACAGTGACATTACAATCCCAGACCAC